TACAAAATTTAAAAGATATTAAACCTAACTCAACTTAATAAAACTAATTTATTAAGAAATAATTACTCTCACCTTATTAAATGAATCATGTCAATATTTTTAGTCAATTTGAGATTCTAATATCTTCCATAAACTCCGGTCTACCTTCTCATCTTTTCGTCCTCTCTTTCTCTCTCTATCTCTCTTCTTTTTGGGTTTTTAACTCTGCAACTCTTTCCTTTGCCAAAGGGCAAAAAAAAAAAAAAAGAAAAAAAAACACAGAAAGTCATTAACAAAAACTTTCAGTCCACATTTTCACCGAGCCTCGATCATCTCACTGAAGAGTACCCCAGAACGATGAAAAATTTACTAGGAAAGGAGACAACATCTAGATTTAAGCCATTGATTGTCAGTAGTTTGCTGTGAAGAAGCTGAGCATACATCATCGTCGGAGATAGTGGATATCTTCCTAGACTCCTCCCCATGAGCGAGCCCAGACTCCGATAAGACGAAGATCAATTCGACCCACAAAGTTCTGAAAACATATATTTGTGTTGGAGGATATTCAAGCGTCGTTATTTAAGTTTTTAATTTAAGTTAAAGATATGACATTGAGAGATGTATTATTTTTTAAAAATTTTTAATTATAAAAATTTAAAATTAATAAAATAAATAAGATCTCATGCTTTTTTTATTTTTATTTTTTTATTTTGAGGTGGGTTTGATGAGTTTAATTAAAAAAAAAAAAAGAAAGAAATACGAAAGATGAAAAGACATTTGTAATGAGTATAACATGACAGCCAGGAGGAATAAAATAAGGAAAGCCATATTTGTTAAACAAACGCCGTGCATATTAGTTTTTGAGAATAGCTAATGTCGTAATTTATAATGACAGTGTTCATATTTTATTAGAAAATAGCTAAGGAGACAGTTTATTTGGACAACAAGTCTAGACTCGTAGGAAAAGACTCCTAGGAAAGTGATAGTGCACCCCTAGATTGAAAATAAAGGGCTTGGATTGTCATGAGAGTAGTTACGAGAGTTGTTACCTTAAGGTTTTCTGTTTATTTTATCAATTTAAATATAAAATTTAAATTTTATTATAGTAAAATTTTTTTAAAAATAATTATATTTAATTTTTTTATTATAATAAAATTTTTTTATATAAAATTATATTTTTATTTAAATTAAAAATTTAAATTAACGAATTAAACGGGAAGAGAGTAGATAAGCCGTGCAACTTAAAGGTAATAAATAATGCAACTTTATTAATTAAAAAACTCACTAAAAGCAAAACGACAAAAAAATAATCGTCGTTCGCGGATCCTTTTTTAAGCTTTCTGTCTAATTGTGTATCCAACCAATTTGATTGACACATCAACCAATCACTAGAAACACTTACTTCTAACATGATAAAACTGGATTCCTCCGTCACTCTAAACGTAATTTTTTTTTTTTTTTTTCTGTCTTTGTGCAGACTAAACTCTCAACCATGTTCTAGTTCTTTTTCTCCCTCTTCTAGATTCTTGAACATTGATTTTTTTTTAATTTTTTTTTTACTGTAATTCCTGCACATTGTTTTTTCCTTTGTCTCTCCTCCTCTTCCTTGTTCCACCGTTCCACGCTAGAAGCACAAAAAAATATAATAAAAAAACTTGTTAATTTTCCCGGTTGTGTTTGATAGGGAACTAATATATATTTCCCTTGATAAGTTTGTGAAGAGAAAGGGTTGATAAAGCTGGTCCCAATCTAAGATCCGGAACTCTTTGTCATGCTTTGATTTTTACACTCCGATTTCTTAAACAAATGCTTTGGAACGGCGCAGGTGACTACATATTGGGCAGAGAGAACTCAGAAGTTAAAGAAAGATGGAAAGAGTAATTGTAGAGGAAATGGATACAGAAAGTAGGAAATTGGGTGTGTTGGTAAGAAAATAAGATGAGAGAATATTGTGATGCTAGCAATTTTTCAATCAAGTTATATAATAGTTTTTAATTTGAGATTTCTTTCAATTCATCGATTTAAGTTTTTAATTCGAATTGAGACGTGAATAAAGAGAATTTTAACTGAAGTAAAAAAATTAAATGTAATTATTTTTAAAAATTTTTAACTATAATAAAATTAGAATTGAAAACTCAAATCAGTAAAATAAACAAAATCTGAATGTTATTTAACACACTTGGCCGTCTGCACATTGTATCATTCACGACGTTAGTACTTTACACTAGTTACCAAGTTGAATTTGATTTAGCAATTTGAGCGATGCTACAAACTTTGAGCACTATTACTGCGTATTGTTTATTTACAAAAACATTATAAAATACGAATTAAAATTTAAAATTAAACACAATATTAAAACATCTTTTTACTTTTTTTTCTCCAAGAAAAGTCTTCTCTGTGTCTCTCTTTTCCGTGTAGAAGAAATTGGGCTGGTTTCGATTCCGATGTTGGAGCACCAGTGGAGGGGGTCTAAAACAGTGGATATCGGATGAGGGAGGAAGTCGATGACCATTGTTTCATTGGAGAGGATCCCGTTTTAATTTGATTATTTTTTGTGATTTTTTTTTTTTTTTCGTTTTGATTGTGTTTAAAGAAAAAAAAAAAATAACATGAGAGATTTTTTTAAAATATTTTTTGGATTGATTTGGAATTTGTGTTGATGTACTTTTTTTTTTTAATTTAAAATATGATGGTTTTGTATGACAACTGGAAAAGTAGATTATTGTTCAGATTACTCCCCCGACGACCGGTGATTAGAACTAGAGATGGCTGACCATTTTTTGTGTTGAAAATGAACATATTCTGATAGATTATTGTAAAAATAATATACCGGATTACTATTTGGTGACCAAAAACGACCAACTATGTATATATAAATATCAATATATATATATTTCTTGAAAATAAAAAATAATCTAGCAAACTACTCTATGACGACCGAACCTGGTAGTTGCTGGTGACTGGAGATCGAAACAAGTAACCTGAGACAGCCCTCAGACAGCATGTGGCCGATCACCAGCGATAATCTAGTAGATTATCGTTTCATTAGTAGGGCAAGTTTGGTAAAACATATATTGTTGACCTTTTACCGATTTACTTGAGGAGCAAAAAATCCAAAGTTCCTACATCTATAGGCATAATCCAAAGGTTAGCTCTTTGGAGGAACATTCCTCCAAAGTGCTCTTTGAAAAAGGAATTATCACCAGAAAAAAGAAGTTGATTGTTTTCAATCCCTCTTCTTAATAGGTAGATAAACTTGAAAGGAAATCGATTCGTTTCTTTTCCTTTTTTTTTTTTTCTTTCCAACACCTCTACTCTTTTTTTTTTTTTTTACTATTTAGGAACACCTCTACTTTTATGATTACGTATATTAATTTATTATTAGTTAGTAAAGATTGCTAGATTTAAATGATCTCAACACAATCTAAACAAGATAAAAAAATAATAATCTAGTTATAAATATGAAAATACCATAAAATTTATTTGAGATTTAGACATACATTGAAGTGGATAAATGAAGATTACCTCTTCCAGTAGACAGCGAAAGGCGTCGTCCACGGTCGCTAAAATTCGTCAATGGGCCTGCTAGAAGTGAGTGGAGGAGCTGCAAAAGGAAGAAGAAGGGCAAGAGGTTCTTGATCTCCTCCCTATCTCTCCCTCTCTCCACCGTTCGGCCATCACCCCCACAAAATGCCACACGCACACCAAAAATAAAAGGGTGGCTGACTACATATAAAAATGAAGGTATTTGGCTTTAACCAATATTCAATTAGAGGGGGTATCTGGTCCAATAGGCTGACCAAATATTATGAGATAGAGGGAGTTCATATGCCTCAAGTAAGTTAATAAAACAAGTGTCCATCCCATTATGGATTGATATTTAACATATATATATGTGTTAATTCATATTAACACAATTGTCTATAAAATACTTTAATTAATTACAGAATAAATTATTATAATTATGAAAGTCTACATAAAAATATTCCAACGAAGATGCCTTAGTAATCCTTAACATACCTAATGACCATTAAGGGGCAAAAAAAAAAAAAAAGTCCCGAAAGCCATCACTTTGTTGTATACCATAGTGGATTACCGTAAGAGTGCGCATGCTTTCCCAGTGTGCACTTTTGTTATTTTAAGTTGTTATCCTTAATTTTCAAGGTTGATGTTTTTTTTTTTTTTTTTTTTCCTGTTAGTGTTGCTTCATTTTTAATGTCGATGTCGCTTTTGTAAAACATGTCATTTACAAGAGATGTCGTTTATGTAGTTATTATCATATCTTAGTTCTGACTATTTCTTGTTTGTTTGTTTTTGTCGTTAATGTAACGACAATAAGTTAGAAAACGGCATGAACGTAAATACGACAATGAAGTCCAACACGACATATATGGAAGAAATGACAAGAAGCCATTGTCATTACTTCCATTTATGCCGTTTTTAAGTATAGGTAGTTTTCAATCTTAATGTGGTTTTTAATATTTCTTTTCTATATTTTATTCCATCGTTTTCCCTGTTGGGGCCGTTCTTACATTTCTTTTATCTTTTTTTTTTTCAAGGGTTCGCTCATTCATTTTTCTTGACGCGTATACATTTTTTTAGTGACATGTATCACGTAATATTTACATATTGATTAGAGATGGTAACAGAGTGAGTATACTTCTCCACCCCTATACCATACACCTCCACTGCCTTTTGTCTTCAATATCCACTAAATTTACGGCGGATTTGTGATCAGTAAAAGCTCCACCTCAAGTAACTATTTTCATACTCTATTCATTTACTTTTGAAAAATTCTTGCAGCATTTGATAAAGTAAATTTCATTAAATTAATTTAAAAATTCAACAATATACTATTAATATCTCTGACTAGCCAAAAAAAAAAAAAAAAATCTCATGAAAAAAATGGAAAAATCTTAAAACTATATAGAAGCTCAATAACAAACATAAGTATCATAACAGAATTTGAACTTAAACAGTATAAGACTAAATTCCTAAAATTCTATCGAAAACCTAAAAAACATCACCATTCTTTTTTTCTTAATTTCCTTCATACCAGCTTTCAACATATGTTTTGTATGTATGTAAAAATATATGAAATACTCACCCTTATTAGGGGCGGATACCCGTACCATGCCTAAGAATGTCAACCTCAATATTGATGCTCTTTAGATTGTTGTCGTTTTACAGATAATATTGTTGCTTGAGATATTGTCGTTTTACAAATCTATGTATATAACAGAGCAAATAATAATGTTTTGGATAGATAATAAAAGTATTAAACATGTTTTTTTCAGGTTCACATGCTTAATAGAATAGCAAATATGTCATTTTAAGCGTGACATGCCCATTGGCATTTCTTGTAGATACTGAATAAAAAATTACTAATGAGAGATTTCAACAAACAGGAAATAGAAGACTGATTATGTAACTCTTTTAACTTAAATGATGTAAAAGAATCCCAGAATCTTTCCCACGGGTATTCCTTTTATTTCCTTTCCCGTCTTCATCTAAAAAATTTCGAGAATCTCCCTCTTCAATAAGTTTTTTTTTTTTTTTTTTTTCCCCTATTCTGTTAATTATTTTATAATGCTTACATATTTGTATATTTATTTATTTAGATATGAATCTATAATAACGATGAGCTTTAGTTACACCACACACACTCTATCTAATTGTAGTTTTTGTTTAGATTTGTGAATTTTGTGTGGCTTCTTGTCGAATCTATAGCTTTTGAGGATCAAATTTGAAAAGGTGCGATTGCGAAAATTAACATCAATAATAGATCCATCATTACATCAACCAAAAGAACTTAATTTGAAGGCGGAAAACGCATTCGGAAAAAGCTTTCTATATGCAGATCAACAGAAAAAAAAAATGCGCATGAAAAAATCCTCTATATTCTTTCGTAGAAGAAATAGTTCACCTACTTTGTTTATTATAACCAATTATCGTTAGATGATCTTGCTATTTTTTCAAGATGTATATGTAAAATATATGATTTGATTAAATAAATGACCATCTTCATAGGAAAAGAAAAAAAATACTTTTTTTTTTCCGCTAAAATAAAGTCTGAAAGGAGGACGACTAAGACGCTAACAGAAATGTTTGTTGAAGGCCCTATAAGTGTGTCTTTCTTATCTAAAGACGTGGTCCCACATTGACATTCTAAATCGAGTACTAAGTAGATAGAAAACAAGTGTTGACATTTAATACTCTTAAAGTGGTAACCTAGCACTCGAAGCTATGATCAAAAACTCACTATGGTACCCGATTATCAAGCTGTGTGCTATATATATGTCCCATTTCTAGGCGCTAATATTACCATAAAATACTTGTAAACTATGCCACTATACAATTTTATGTTTAGCGGCCCCTCTCCCCACGTTCCCTGGCCCATTCTCTCATTCTCTTCCTCTAGCCATTGCCGCCACCAGTCTTCTACGACTCAGCCCCAATAATCATCAAGAGACCACCGCTGGTATCTCAATACATATCTCCTTTTTGTTTCTCTTTTTTATCATTCCAACTTTTTTCTTTAAAAGCAAGAAAGTTTGCAAAACTTAAGTAATTGCTTAGAAAATTCTCACCTCCTTTCAAAGCCACCAAAGAGAGATACATTCAATCTTTCAAGCGGTCATTTTGTTATTGCTATTACTTTTACCCGCCAGTAGTTCATTATGAATAGAACGTTATGTTATATGGAGTGTATTTTTTTCCTGTCTTACATTTATACGACTTTATATCATACAACACTAAAAAATGAGAACTGATACAGTTTCAAAAAGAAAAAAAAATGAAAAATAATATATTATACTCAAAACACGCGACATCTTATTTCCATTTTATAGACCAAACTTTTCAGCATCAACATATCAATCTTCTTGAATGTTTAGCACAAGTGCATAATAATTCTCCAAAAAATAAGATCAGAATGAACTGATGAAAAGTGTCAAACTAAAGTCCACATCAAGGAATAAAAATAAAAAATAAAAAAAAAACTTTGTGCTATGAAAAAAGAGGACTGAGGAAAACTAAACCAGTTGTGGCAGTGCACTTTCCTTATTGATTCATTTTTCTTTATTGTTGCATTTATTTCGAGTAGAGAAATTCTTGTTACATTATACAGCGAGCATATGGAAAGAAACAAGGACTTTTCTCATCTACATCAAGAACAAGATCAGCAACCATCTGATGGTTTGGAGATTTGTTTGAGAACGAAATTGCAGAACTCATCACCATTACCTTCTGAGTGTTGCATCTATACGGTCCCGGGGCGGCTACGTCTTGCAAATGCAACGACCTACACCCCTCGGGTCGTTTCCATCGGGCCACTTCACCATGGTGAAGAAAGCTTGCGAGCCATGGAAAAATATAAAATGCTGTATCTCAAGAGTTTTCTAGAACGAACGAAGGTAACTAGCTAATTAGTAATTCCATTAATCTATTTCACCATTTGTTCTTTAACCAACACGATAAGTCACACATTGTTACATGTGAACCTAAAAAAGTCGCTATATTTTTAGTATTTTAGCTTTAGATCCACATATTAATACACATGGAAAGAATTCATTTGTGTTAGTACCGGTTTTAGTCTTTTAACACTTTTTAAGACAATATAAATAATACAGAAACATAAAATAAAAGAATATGAGAGAAATAATATCGCGGTTCAGTAACACCCTACTCCGCGGGGCCACGTCCAGATGATGAACAATCCACTAAGAACTCTTTTACAATTCGATTGGACTTAATCTACCTGAGACTCCCTCTCTAAGAAGACACCTATGAACTTGCAATTTCCCAATGGATTTGAACAGCGAGATCCCCTCGACTTTTTAACATTGGAATCCCTCCAACTAAGTTTTTCTCCCGAAAAATACTCAAATCATCTCTCTCAATACAAGTGCTTACCCCTGTCTCACAACCCAGTAAAAACTCATCAAGAGGCGTACCAAGACTTAAGGAACACTTTCAATAAATAAGCAAGCTGTGAATAGCTTGACACATATTCAATTAATTCGCTGAACCACATCTGTTGCAGATCTTGTTGTAACAACACTACAACATAGCTGTTACGGCCAACTTTCTCAAAACCAGACGAATCAATCTTCTTTAATTCTAAAATCTTCCCAAAACTGATACACGAACCTAGACACGTTCTTATGAGGCAGAGGAATATCATCCATCTATGAAATCTCAATCAAGAATCAATCAAATCAATTTTCCATCTTTGAATCAATAGTTGACTTAGAAAAATAGAAACTAAAACAAGTTTCTGGATTTTTTGAAACCTGCCAAACTAAACTTGCCAGCTGCAAAGACATTTCCAAACGCAATTATCCCAGCAAAACATTCCCAAAATAATGCCAATCAAATCCGATTATAATCAATACACAAATTGAGAAACAAATCCCGACAATCTCCCCCTTTGGCATTGTTTTGGCAAAACTAATAATAGCAACTAAAACACAATACTTTTTGCACAAATCAAGTTTCCAGACTACTTACTCCCCCTTTTTGACAAAAATAAGCCAAACATTCTAAAAAATGAGCAACACCTTCCTGCAAATCGCTCCCCCTGAATCCTCCACGAGTCCTCCTCCCCCTGAATATGGTATTCTCCGATGCATATTGCTTTTATCACCTATCAAAAACTTGAAGTGACCATTACCACAATACTCAGATTTATTAGTACATGCTCTAAAAGAAGTATAAGCCCCAAGACACCTTAAATCAGATTTCTTTATCGGCACACATCTAGAAAATTTATTTTGCACATCAATCTTTGCTTTAGGTGTCCTTCTTGTGAATGCGGAATTTGATGGATTAATAATCATACCTCTTTTTAAAGCATTCAAGTATTTGTAACATCTAGGTCTAATGTGGCCAGGCAAATTACAATAGTGATAGATAGGAACGAACTTGTTTGTTGCTTGTCTTGTTACAACAAACTTCTTGTCTAATCTTACCCGAGATTTCTTAAAAGACTGCATCATAGTACTGGTGGCTCCTTTCATAAAGACAGTCTTCCCAGAAATTTCTTGACCCTTGTAGCCAAGGCCTGAATGATCACCACAAGTTTTTTGTTGTGAGAGTAAGTGATCCAATTTTGATGTGCCCGAGTTTAGCATCCTTAAATTCTTCTGGGTTTGCTCCAATTCGAGTCTGGTCTCAGCAAGCTTTCCTTGATGCTCTGTTGCCAAGATTTCATAATTTGTTGCAGCCTTCTTCAACTCATGTCTTTCCTTTGTTAAGACACCAACTTCATCTTCAAGCGATTTGTTTCGTTTGCAAACAACAAGCCATTTGCTGTACATCTTCTTATAAGCCTCCTGAATCTTCCCAAGGCTTAGGTCATCATCGTCACTGTCATCTTCAGTTTCATCCTCGAAATCTGTATCATCAACAATTCCACCAAAGGTTGTTACAGACGCTGTTGCAACAGACTCTGTAACAACATTATCAGTGAAAAATAAATTTTTATCCGAGAATTCATTTCTTACAGTGAAAGCCACATAATTGCTGGTGTGATCATCTGCATCCTCTTGATTTTCGTCTGAATCATCACTCCATGACGCCGTGGCAGCCTTATTTTTCTTCTTGAGAGTGTTTGCACACTCCACTTGAACATGTCCAAATCCTTCACATTCTCGGCATTGTATTCCCTCTTTTCTTTTCTTCTCTTCAAACCGTTGAGAATTAAAATTCTTCTTTTGAGAATTAAAATTCTTCTTTTGAGAATTTTTGTTCTTTGAATTCTCTCCAAATCTCCCTTTCTTGTTGAACTTTCTCAGCATTTCATTGAATTTTTTGGTGAGAAAAGTAAGAGACTCACTCAAGTCCTCATCTTCGTCGGTCTCATCTTTAGTGGACATATCATCATAATCTGCATTAAGAGCAATGCCTCTACTTTTCTTTTTAGCCTTAAAGTTCATCTCAAAGGTTTGAAGATTACCTATGAGTTCATCAAGTCTCATCTTCTCCACGTTTTTTGCTTCTTCGATGGCTGTCACTTTGCAAGCAAAACGTGTCGGAAGTGATCTCAATGTCTTTTTCACCAATTTGGTGTCAGAATATTTTTCTCTAAGGGTGAAGGCTTCGTTGGCAATATCACAAAGCTTTGAGTTGAAATCGGCAATGCACTCATCCTCCTCCATTTGTAAACGTTCAAAGCGAGTTGTGAGCATTTGAAGCTTTGAAGCCTTCATAGTATCCATACCTTCATGCGTAGTTTGAAGAATGTCCCAAGCTTCTTTTGCGGTTTCACACGTGGAAATCAATTTAAATTGATTAACATCCACAGCATTGAAAATGGCGTTCAATGCTTTTGAATTATTGTTTGCTAGCTTGTCCTCATCGCTGGACCATTTCTCTTCTGGCTTAGGGACAGTATTACCTTCATCATCTTTAGTTGTTGGATGAGTCCATCCGGTTAAGATAGATCGCCATGCCTTCTCATCAATAACTTTAATGAAAGCTTTCATGCGAGCCTTCCAATAGGGGTAATTGACACCTTCCAGAAGCGAATATAAAATTAACTTATAGGGTATATTAGTACTTTTACACTATTTCCTGTAGGTACCAGTTTTAGTCTTTTAATAAAACACTTTTTAGTATGAATAATACAGAAACATAAAATAAAAGAACACGAGAGAAATGGTATCGCGGTTCGGTAACACCCTACTCTGCGGGGCCATGCCCAGATGATGAACAATCCACTAAGAACTCTTTTACAATTCAATTGGACTTAATCTACCAGAGACTCCATCTCTAAGAAGACGCCTATGAACTTGCAATTTCCCAATGGACTTAAACAGCGAGATCCCCTTGACTTTTTAACATTGGAATCCCTCCAACTAAGTTTTTCTCCCGAAAAACACTCAAATCATCTCTCTCAATACAAGTGCTCACCCCTGTCTCACAACCCAGTAAAAACTCATCAAGAGGCGTACCAAGACTTAAGGAACACTTTCAATAAATAAGCAAGCTGTGAATAGCTTGACACATCTTCAATTAATTCGCTGAACCACATCTGTTGCAGATCTTGTTGCAATAACACTGCAACATAGCTGTTATGCCCAACTTTCTCAAAACCAGACGAATCAATCTTCTTTAATTATGAAATCTTTCCAAAACTGATAAACGAACCTGGACACGTTCTTATGAGGCAGAGGAAGATCATCAAGCTATGAAATCTCAATCAAGAATCAATCAAATCAATTTTCCATCTTTGAATCAATAGTTGACTTAGAAAAATAGAAACTAAAACAAGTTTCTGGATTTTTTGAAACCTGCCAAACTAAACTTGCCAGCTGCAAAGACATTTCCAAATGCAATCATCCCAGCAAAATATTCCCAAAATAATGCCAATCAAATCCGATTACAATCAATACACAAATTGGGAAACAAATCCCAACAATTTGTAAAGTACGTATATTAAAACATACCATACTAGTAGAATACAAGTTTTAACTGTCATCATTTCATTAAATATTGTTAAATTTTCATACCCTTTTCTTAATTTAATACAATTTGATTTTGTATATGGACCGTAAGTAATCATTATATCACAGTTCTAACTGTTTGAAAAATCAGGGATGGTTACATTAATGTTAGTATTTCCAGATGAGCTTGAAGGACTACATTGAGTTGGTGAGGAAAAGGGAGCAGAAAGTGCGAAATCAATATGCCGAAAACTTTGAAAGTACAAGCAGCAATAAATTTGTGGAAATGATCCTTGTGGATACTGCCTTTGTCATTGAGGTTTTGTGTAAGAACCACTCCAAAGAACTGGTAGAGGAAAATGATCTAATTTTTAATAGGCCTTGGAAGGTTAAGGAGGTAAGGGAAGATATGATGTTGTTGGAAAATCAACTTCCATTCTTCATGCTTGAAGATGTCTTGTCCTTGGCCAAAATAAGGGTTTCTCTTGGCAACAATAATGAGAAGTTAGTTTCCCTTAGTAGTGAGCAAATTTCCCTCATTAAGCTTACTGTTGGGATTTGTTTTCCAAATTATGTATTGATTCTAATCGTTTTATGATTAGCATTATTTTGGGAATGATTGGCTGGTTGATTGTGTTTGAGAATAGATGTGTAGCTGGCAAGTTCCTTATGGAAGTTTTTCTGAAAGAGAAACTTATTTTAGTTTCTATTTTTGAAAGTCAACTATTGATCCAATGATGGTAAATTGATTTGATTGATATTTGATGGAGATCTCGTAGCTGGATGATCTTCCCCTATCTCCTAAGAACGTGTCTAGGTTCATATATCAGTTTTGCAAAGGTTTTAGAATTAAAGCAGATTGATTCGGACTGATTTTGAGAAAGTCGACCTTGACAACTATGATGCAGTTATTGTTGCAACAAAGATCTGCAACATATTTGGTTCAGGGAATTAATTGAAGAGGTCGTCAAGCTGTTATCATTTTTGCTTATTTATTCAAAGAGTCTCTTGTTTCTCTGTACACCTTTTGATTAGTTTTGCTGGGTTGTGTGAAAGGTGAGCACTTGTATGCAAGAGAGATGATTTGAGTATTTTTGAGAGAAAAACTTAGTTGGAGAGATTCCAATGTTAAAAAGTCGAGGGGATCTCGCTGTACAAGTCCATTGGGAAATTGCAAGTTCATAGACGTCTTCTTAGAGAGGGAGTCTCAGGTAGATTAAGGCCAATTGAATTGTAAAAGAGTTATTAGTGGATTGTTCATCATCTGGGTGTGACCCCGCGAAGTAGGTTGTTACCGAACCGTGATACCATTTTTCTCATGTTCTATTTTATGTTTTTGCATTATTCATATTGTCTTATAAAGTGTTAAAAGACTCAAACTGGTACCAACACTTACCCATGACTTTTTTTGGTTCAAAGCTTACTTGGGCCGCGAGAAAAGGGAAATCCTTAAAAAGATGCAACAATGTTCCTTTGACATCAAGCACTTTCTCGACTTCTTTAGAAAATGTCTGAGCTGTTTAGAATTGATCCCGTGTTTATTTTTCATGTTTTTCAGAAAAGAAAAAATGAAATATTTTCAAAACGGCGTTTGGCGCAATAAAGACAAAAAATAGAAAATGAAAACGATTTTTTGGTTTAGTGTAAAATAAAGGAGAAATGAAAAACGTTTTTCATTTTTTATTTTCGTTTTCTTCTCTCTCGAGCAAAGAGAGAGATTAATGAGTTTTTTATACTGAAAACAATCTCTTGATAAAACTACAAAATACATTTTTAAAAATAATTTCTGCCTGAGATTGAAAACGTTTTCATTTTCATAAAAAAATAATAATAAAATCATTTTGGAACGAATTCTAAACGCGCCCGTCATGTCCCTAGGGAGCGACCACCAAGTGGGAAAATTCGAACTGTAAACCTATCCAGCGTGACATAGCTGCACAAGGCCAGAGTCAAGTGTGAGGTGGGATCATCTAGAAACTTGTTCGATATACAATTTCGCAACAGAGTTCTGGTGATTCCGCAATTACAGATTAGGAGCTCGACTCAGAGCTTCTTTTTGAATCTGCTCGCATTCGAGCAATGTCGCTTGCGCAATTGCTACATCAGTAATTACTTTTTCATCCTTGACCGTCTCATTGACACGACAAGTGATGGTCAGTTGCTTGGTCAAAGTGGAGTAATCGAAAGTAAGCTATCGGATAACCAAGAAGTGGTAGCATCAATCAATCACCTTGCCCTAGGGAGTTTTTGGCGCCGTAAAAGGTTTCACTTTAATGAACTTTGTGATGGACTGAATGCTCATTATGCTAACCCTTGGAACAATTGGATAACGACCATAATACATAACCATTTTAGCTCTCCATTGACCATCTTTGTTGTCACCACAGCTGCTGCCCCATTTACACGTTCTCTTATTCAAACAGTGTGTTCATGTGGAGTTCAGTTTAAGTAGTAGAGCATTGTTTTCCCCTTAATGACTAACAAAGAAAGCTCATAAGTCTTACTAGTCGAAAAATCCAAGGCCCTTCTAGTAGAACTCAAACTCGAGATGAGTAAAGATTTTATAGCTCACCTCAGAGTAGTGCCTCATAATTTTTTGTCACTTTTTTGAATGAAACTTCTTCTAATTGAGGAGAATATTATTAAAGAGAGAAAAGAAAGTGCCTCATGATTAGGCTGAAAATGTATGCGCAAAAACTAGTAACAAATTTGCATAGTCTGGAGGTTTCATCTCATTGATTCCTTAAAACAATGCAATATAGGCGTAGACTTTAGTCCCTTGTTCTTCTTAGTTGACAGTTATTTGCTCTTTATCTTCATGATTTCAATTTAGAACTAAATAGATTTCTCATAACAGAGAGAAAAGAGAGAAACTGTGTTGTTAGAGCTACCGGTATGCTACAGTTAAATTCCTTTTCTCACTCATTTTTTAATGCATTTTTGTTTTCCTTTCATTTTTCAAGTACGTACATTTACTTGCTGGAAATTGTTTAAGCTTGTATATGAGAAGAAAATTTGGTCTCTTGAAGGGGACAATTACAAAAAGTGTTCTCTAGTGTTTTATGGAAATTTCAGGTTACACTTTATATTTTTAAAACAAAAAAGTATCAATCTTTTAAATTATATAAAAATTACCTCGCCGAATCATTGATTACCAATGCATAAGTTTTTAGAAATACAGAGTATACCACTAAGCAGTTAAAAATTGAAATATAAAATTTAAAAAGTAAAAACATAATTGAGAAAAAAAAGGTCCAAAATTGCTTCTGAGGAAGCGCTGAAGCACTATAATGGGAGAAGGACCATTGCATACTATGGGAGGGGCGGATAGTGGTTGTAATTGTAAACCTGGTGGTAACCATGCTGACCATCGTGCGTCACAATCCATGCAACCCCTCCGGGATGAAGGGTCGCAACCCTTTTGTGTTGATCGTCCAAGGGGTGGCAAGCCACGCAACTCATCGGGGCCATGGTTCGTGATTATAAGGCATCTCACGACTAGGAATGTTCATCTAATTCAATTTGTATTTTTTAGTCTAAACCAATCCGATCCGTACATTTGCAAATTTGAAAATTTTCATCCAATCCAATCCGCGCACAACACATCATTCAATCCAATCCGCATACATTAGTCTGTTAGTCACACGTAAAAACTTAAGTTTACGCAATTTTTCAAGTCATTCTTTTGTGTGAAAATGACATTCAAAGTTACACATATAAGTTAAGAACTCAGCGAAATACAAGTTATAAACTATTCTCATAATGATCCCTGATAATTATTCCACAAAATATACAACGTCAAAATTCCATACATAGTTCAACAATCAACATAAATCCAACACAAAGTTTGATAGAAATTCAATGAAGGCAACAGCTAGAAAATCAACAAGACCTAAGATAGTTAGACATTAAAAAAATACTAAAACTATATTTTTAAATCTTATTATATATAAAAGTGTGGATCGGTTTGAATCAGTTACTTTTTAAGTTCAATCCACACCCGATCCGCACAAGTGTGGATTTGAGAAAGTGTAATTCAATCGCTTGTTATCCGTACTTTGCGGTTTGAATTAGATAGGTTTGATCGGTTTAAATGGGTATTTTGACATATTTGAATACCCCTAGCTACTCACGACCACGAGTCACTAGAGGTTGATTAAGAAGAAAAGGAAGACCTATTTTTCCCCTCATTTTTTTGGATAATAGTTCAATGTATAATAATATTTTTGGGGTTTTAGTTTTTGAATTTTTTAACTTTTTTTCTACCGAGTAGTTATGTCTTTTTATAAGGTAAAATTGATTGTTACGACCACAAGATAGGGTTTTAATAAAGTGATTTGAAAAACAGAGTGATTTTTCTTTTGCTTTTCCAAAAACTTATGGTGGAATGCTGCATTTTACTAAAACACATATATATTTTTGTGATTTTCCCCTTTTGAGTTTCTTACTTTCCCACTTTTGTGCTCTAACACAAGCTTTTCCTCTTGGATTTTTCTGTCTGTTGAACTTGTGATTTTCCACTACTTGGTTGCTGTCAATGTCAACTTTGCTAAGCCATTGGCTTTATTAAACTAGATGGACCAGGACATTGTTGATAGTGGAGTGAACTGAACATGCTGAGACTCCAAAAAAGAGTGGGAGATATTCCCTTTGTTAGAAATAGAACGGAAAAGCAGAGACAACCAACTCCCACCATTCTCCTCGTTGCTAGGTAGTATATAGGAAGTAAGTAAGGGGATGTTTGGTGTACCGTATTGTATTGTGTCGTATCGTGGTATTTGGTTGGTATTATTATTAAATATTATACTATTTTTACTATTATAGTCTATTTACGTATTAGTTTGTAATAAGATACAATTTAGGCCTAATCATAACCTAATTTGACTCTAAATCTCAACCTAAACCTAACATTTGGAGGAAACAAGGAAGAAAGTAGAGCTGCTACATTAGGGTTTTTTTTTGTAAAAATTTTAAAATGGGGTCAAATTGTAATTTAAAAAAAATTAAGGGGTAAAAATATGATTTTGAAAACGTTGAGGGGTCAAAATATAATTTTGAAAAGAGGTTAAAACATAAATTTTAAAAAATTTAGGGGTCAAAACATAATTTTTGAAAAGTTTAGGGTCAAAATATAATTTTTAAAAAAATATAAAAACAACATCACATGGGTCCCGAAACTCGACTCCAATGTCAATATCAAAATCCAACCCCGAACCTTGGTATTTGTAAAATATTTTATAAGTTTTTAATGTAGTATTTTAAGTTAAGTTGAATAATACGGTCTAGTACATAGATTTTTTTTCTATTAGATATCATACTTCGTATTATATTAATTTTAAATCTCGTATTAAATTATACAATGTATAAATGTTACCAAACATTATATTATTATTAAACGATACAATACGGAATGTTTATACGGTGTACCAAACATGCTCATGTACTTTTGCATAATGATACACAACTACGAAAATGATTTTAAGGCGGGCACAATCATTTTTAACATTGATCTTTTAGAAAACCATGTGATAAAAAACACTAAGACACGTGAGGGTGGAGGGTCCGGATTTTGGTATTTTTATAAACGGTTTTTGAAAGAATGTCGTTGTTTATATATTTATAACAATGGAATTAACCGATGTTAATCACAAATAAAAAGTTAAAGTTGCAAATAAAAAAAGTTTTTATAAGCTCTGTTTTCGTAAGCACTGAGGAGGTAACTTATAAATAGGGTTGTTCATGGGTTGGGTTGGTACGGGGTATGACTTTTTTTTCCCCGTCCCAAAGGGTGTGGGTTGCACATATTTGGCCCCAACGATGTTAGAAAACTTTCACAACCCAACGATGTTCGGGTTGGGTTGGGGCGGTGCGGGGTGGGTTGGGTGGTCGGTTTCAACATTCAAAAAATCAAAGACTTAAAGTTCAATATAATATTCAAACTTCATCATTAAATAGAAATAACAACCATCATTATTAGTCCGGTGAGAGAGCACTGGAGAAAGTGGGCAAGACGGCGGCCGAGAGGACTGAGCAATGAGGAGAGAGTTATGAGGGGGTTCACGGGAGGGGAAGAATAGGGAAAATTGAAAAGGAAGAGGCAAGAAGAGGGGGTTCATGGGAGGGGAGACCGAGAATGAGATTGTGAACCCTAATGTTAGCGAGCCTAGGGGAGAACTTTGGTAGTTCGGCTTGGGCCAAAAGCTTGGGGGTATGTTGTGCGGGTTGGGTTGGGGATTGCGGGTTGTTATGGGCCCAACCCGCAATCCGCCCCAAACACTTCGGGCCAGAGGTATAATGAGCCGCAAATTTAAAAATAATGCTGCGGGTTATTTTTTTTTTGCTTGGGTTGGGGCGGGGTGGGTTGGGTTTGCAGGTTGTTCGGGTTTATGAACAGCCCTACTTATAAAAGTTAAAGATGTCCATTTAAATGGGCTCAAAAGTAATTTTTAAACTAAGTCCAAGCAGCTTTTTTTTTTTTTTTTTTTTTTTTTTTTTTTTTTTTTTAATTCAAAAAAAGATCCAAACAGACATTGAGTCATTGCGATTCTAACTTTTAAATCTCCTTGAGCCTATTTCAAAACCCTATGTTTTACATTTGAATTAGTCTGTTATGTGAAGTAATTCTAATGAAATTATATACAAGAATCCGCTTTACATGTACTCTTTGGACTAATTACGGATGAAGCCAAAAAAAAAAAAAAAAAAAGTGATTATCAACACTTGGAGACCACCAACCGCCAATCAACACCAATATACAGTCCATCATATAATCTACAAATCATGTTTGATCTTACTACCTTAGTCGCATATTATTTGGCTAAAAAAAAAAAAGGAAAACTCAATAATGCTACACTTATTCTGTAGAATTAATACACTAATACGTCAAAAACATTGCTTTAAACTTGAGAACCAAAATGAAAATGAATCCGCATTTCACAAATTATACAAAACAAGACAGTAATATACATTTATGTATGTTCTTAAAATAATGAGAAAGATGCTCAATCAAGCAGTGGGCCCCGCCAATAATTTTATTCTCCACGACAAAATGAAGAGAAATTAAAAAATTTCAAAAAGCTCCACACAAGAAGAGCGCTTGGCTGTATACTAAAGGGTGTAAATGCAAAACCTTAACTAATGACTTTTACTTAATCACATAAGTAGAATTCCCATGCACATGCTCAAAAGGACCACGGCCAATCTCCCACTGTCCACTCCACGTGCGCCACTATCGTCGTCGGCTGTTTGATCATCCGACTCGGCGTCGGGGTCATCGGCTTCCTTCGGCGAGTCGGCTACTGTCGGCTTAAACAGCTCCTTAGGCAACAAAACTTTGTTAAGCTTATAAACGGCTAACGGCTCCTGGTCAATTAACGTCCCCAAAACCTTGGCCGTTACGACCTTGGTCTCCAACGTTAAGTCTTCGCCGTCAGTTTGCACCGTGAAGTCGTA